ACTCTGGCCCCCCCCCCCCCCCCCCCCCCCCCCCCCCCCCCCCCCCCCCCCCCCCCCCCCCCCCCCCCCCCCCCCCCCCCCCCCCCCCCCCCCCCCCCCCCCCCCCCCCCCCCCCCCCCCCCCCCCCCCCCCCCCCCCCCCCCCCCCCCCCCCCCCCCCCCCCCCCCCCCCCCCCCCCCCCCCCCCCCCCCCCCCCCCCCCCCCCCCCCCCCCCCCCCCCCCCCCCCCCCCCCCCCCCCCCCCCCCCCCCCCCCCCCCCCCCCCCCCCCCCCCCCCCCCCCCCCCCCCCCCCCCCCCCCCCCCCCCCCCCCCCCCCCCCCCCCCCCCCCCCCCCCCCCCCCCCCCCCCCCCCCCCCCCCCCCCCCCCCCCCCCCCCCCCCCCCCCCCCCCCCCCCCCCCCCCCCCCCCCCCCCCCCCCCCCCCCCCCCCCCCCCCCCCCCCCCCCCCCCCCCCCCCCCCCCCCCCCCCCCCCCCCCCCCCCCCCCCCCCCCCCCCCCCCCCCCCCCCCCCCCCCCCCCCCCCCCCCCCCCCCCCCCCCCCCCCCCCCCCCCCCCCCCCCCCCCCCCCCCCCCCCCCCCCCCCCCCCCCCCCCCCCCCCCCCCCCCCCCCCCCCCCCCCCCCCCCCCCCCCCCCCCCCCCCCCCCCCCCCCCCCCCCCCCCCCCCCCCCCCCCCCCCCCCCCCCCCCCCCCCCCCCCCCCCCCCCCCCCCCCCCCCCCCCCCCCCCCCCCCCCCCCCCCCCCCCCCCCCCCCCCCCCCCCCCCCCCCCCCCCCCCCCCCCCCCCCCCCCCCCCCCCCCCCCCCCCCCCCCCCCCCCCCCCCCCCCCCCCCCCCCCCCCCCCCCCCCCCCCCCCCCCCCCCCCCCCCCCCCCCCCCCCCCCCCCCCCCCCCCCCCCCCCCCCCCCCCCCCCCCCCCCCCCCCCCCCCCCCCCCCCCCCCCCCCCCCCCCCCCCCCCCCCCCCCCCCCCCCCCCCCCCCCCCCCCCCCCCCCCCCCCCCCCCCCCCCCCCCCCCCCCCCCCCCCCCCCCCCCCCCCCCCCCCCCCCCCCCCCCCCCCCCCCCCCCCCCCCCCCCCCCCCCCCCCCCCCCCCCCCCCCCCCCCCCCCCCCCCCCCCCCCCCCCCCCCCCCCCCCCCCCCCCCCCCCCCCCCCCCCCCCCCCCCCCCCCCCCCCCCCCCCCCCCCCCCCCCCCCCCCCCCCCCCCCCCACCCCCCCCCCCCCCCCCCCCCCCCCCCCCCCCCCTTTCTCGTAATTTTTTGTTTGAAGAGAGAGTATAAGCAATTAGAAGGGAAACAAAGGTTTTTTGCTTGGTTGAGATAGGATAGCTATACAGGGAGTTGACTCACATTAAATTTCCTGTGCATGTGTGTTACCTTCCAGGTTAATTCTTTTGATCTAACCTTTTCTCTAGTTCCTGGTCCCCTTTTCCTATTGGCCTCAGTTGCTTTTAAGGTATCTGCTTTAGTTTCTTTGCGTTGAGGGCAACAAATGCTAGCTAATTTTTTAGGTGTCTTACCTATCCTCACCCCTCCCTTGTGTGCTCTCGCTTTTATCATGTGCTCAAAGTCCAGTCCCCTTGTTGTGTTTGTCCTTGATCTAATGTCTGCATATGAGGGAGAACATATGATTTTTGGTCTTTTGGGCCAGGCTAACCTCACTCAGAATGATGTTCTCCAGTTCCATCCATTTCATTCCAGAAGAACGATTGATAACATTTTATTCTTCTTCATGGCTGCATAAAATTCCATTGTGTATAGATACCACATTTTCTTAATCCATTCGTCGGTGGTGGGGCATCTTGGCTGTTTCCATAACTTGGCTATTGTGAATAGTGCCGCAATAAACATGGGTGTGCAGGTGCCTCTGGAGTAACCTGTGTCACAGTCTTTTGGGTATGTCCCCAAGAGTGGTATTGCTGGATCAAATGGTAGATCGATGTCTAGCTTTTTAAGTAGCCTCCAAATTTTTTTCCAGAGTGGTTGTACTAGTTTACATTCCCACCAACAGTGTAAGAGGGGGGAAACCATGTTTCAATTGCATGTCAATGCCTGCAACCCCTGGCACTACTTTGGCACCTAGTCTATGTTTCCTAAGCACTCAGCACAGGGAAGGAGAAAAATGAAGAGTTATGGTACATGGAAGAGGCTCTGCATAGTTTAAACCATTTATTAATTTGGGTTGTTAATAAAAATTTAGCAAGAAACTCTGTTGTGTTTTTGAAGATGAACAGATGTGAGCTCTTCTCTCTGTAGTCCCCAGACTCATTGGCCACTTGTACTGAATTTTGCTTTGACAACATTGTATCACCTCTTCTGTTACCTCGGCTCCCCATACTCAGATGTTGGCAGGGAGTGCTGAATTGAAAGAAATAAGAAACACAGTTTGTCATGTACACAGATTTCCATCCTTTGATCAAATAAGTTTAAAAATCCCCCATGCTGAATGTCTTTCCTTAAACAAAACCCCATGAACTTCAAATAGAGAGGGTGGACTCAAGCAGTTTCTGGAATAATGGAAGGTCTATAGTCCACCAGGCAGCCGTGCATGCTTTTTGGGAAGTGGTGAGTCTAGGGAGTCGGGAATGGTTGGGAGGGTGAAGTGACTATGTCAGATCGGGGTTTGGTGAGTTAGCCAGCCCGGCCAAAGCTGGGAAGTATCACCTGTATACTTCTCATTTTCGTTTTCACATTATACAAGTGGGTTTTTTACAGCATCTGAATCAACATTGTGACAATTCTGTAGGGTTTTTTTTTTCTTTATCTGATGAAATAAAAAAATAAGGATCCAGTTTATAGAAGTAAAGAGAAAGGGAGTCTCTGACCCATGTGAAATGTGACCCAGTTTGCCTCACAGTCATGCTCAATCTTTGAAAAAAAACAAGCAAACTTCATATGGAAATGATGGATGAACCTATGTTATGCATAAGAAGAGGCAGAATCAGAAATGACTTGATGAAGGCTTATCTCTGGGGATAGGCTTTGGGTAATTTAATTTTCTTCTCATTTTTCTGCTAAGATTGTGTATTACTTAGAAATTAAAAAAAATTAAAGAAAAGACTATTGGAGCCAGGTGTGGTAGTGCATGCTGTAATTACAGCACTCAGAAGGCTAAGGCAAGAGGATATTGAGTTTGAAGGCAGTCTGGGCTACATAGCTAGACCCTGTCTGAGAGAGAGCAAAAGAGAGACTCACCCACATGGAGGTGATAGAGATAGTCCAGGTGAGGATGAGGAGTGGTCTTCAAAGCTGACCCTGCCATGCTAGGAACAAAGGGGTGGTAATGCAAGCACTTGGTAAATACCTCTTGTCCTTACCTGAAGCTCTGCTGGATGGAGGAAGAAAGAGGAAATGGGGAGGCTACAGACACACAGGAGGTGGGGCGAGAAGGGTGCACCCATCCCCAGCACACAGCCAGAACCATCAGGTGGACTCAGAGGGACTCCCCACCAGAAGGCAGCTTGGTGGACAGGTGGAGACAGACTGGGGAGGCAGACCACCTGGGTTTCAGTCTCCAAATGACACTGAGTAGCTGCATGACATTAAACAAGTACTTGACCTCTCTTTCCCCCACTGCTGTACTGGGATTGAACTCAGTCTCACACTTGCTTAGGCAAATGCTCCACCACTTAAGCTATGCTCCAGTCCTTTTGCTTTTAGGTTTTGTTATCAGATAGGATCTTTGGCTCTTTGCCTAGGCCTTCCTTAGACCAAGATCCTCCTACTTCCATTTCCCAGGTAGTTGGGATTAGAGATATGTATGCTGTGCTCAGCTTGTTTTTGACATAGGGTCTCACTAACTTTGCCTGGGCTTGCCTCAAACCTCAATCCTCCTGTCTCCACCTTTCAAGCAACAGGGATTACAGGTGTGAGCCTCTGCCCAGCCCTGCTTGACCTCTTTTGTGTCTCGGTGTCCTCATCTGTGCATTGAAGGTAATAAGAGTACCTGCCTCATGATGCCGGTGTAAGAATAGGATTCAATGAGTTAATGTTTGTAAAGTGGTTAGCATAACACCGGGCATATAGTGAGCTCGGTATAATGACTGATGAATAAAAATAGAAGCTAGACCTTAAGCCCCTGAGGACCTGGAACATGTGTTTAATTCATCTCTGCCCACGTGCTTCCCAGTACCAGGCAGGTCTGTCACGGGACTGTGCATAGTTGTCAGATAAACACACATGGCAATTAGATTTTCAAAAGTTTTTTGATGCACCATGAATTCAGTAGACCTCAAATGGCTTTGTTTCCTACATATCTGGAAAGAAACGAAGGAAGGAA